GTATCAGAGCCTTTGGTTTTCCAAAATGGGAATTTCAAACATTTTGGTAGATTTTCAAATCTGGGATTTTCAAATAAAAATTTCCCTCAAACTAGTGATTTTCAAATAATTAAAAGTTTTCCTTAACTGATTTTCAAAAAAGGGTTTCCAACATTTCTTAGATTTTCTAAAACCTCAATAGGTGATCCCAACAAGTTGGTATCGAACTCTTATTTTTAACACCTACCGAAAACTTTCAAGAAGTTTTCCTCCAATTAAACAAAAAGAAAACGGACATCGTTTTTCTAAATGCGTTGCAAAGAGAAGAAACTTAGGAACAATAAACTGATTAAAGAAATACTTCGTAACAAATTTAGGATTGTGGTGAGCTTGTGAGTCCTTGATTTCATGCTTGTATATATGGAGTTATGTGAACATCAATAATTGCTTAAAATTGGCATAATGGTGTTATATTCCCCTAGGAAATTAAACTTTAAGACTAGGGCTTATGTGCCATTTGCTCTTATTTGTTTCATTATATAGGATAGAGGACAGGAGTGTTCCTCGGGAAAAGTTTAGTATTATGCTTCCGGGACGAAGCATTCTTTTAAGGAGGGTAGAATGTGACACTCCTTAAATTTAATAAAAAAAAAATATTTAATATAAAATAACACAAGATAACTGTTAATTGTATGAGTGGATAATTTTCTTAACATATGCTTCGGGGACGAAGCATCTTTTAAGGAGGGTAGAATGTGACACCCCGAAAATTTAAATAAAATAAATAAATTTATTAGTCAGATAAAATGTTACGAAAGTCACATTTTTATAATTAAGTGAATCAGATAAAATTTTAACATCGGTGACAACTTTAAGCAGATAAAAATGTTTCAATAATAAAAGTGACATTTTTATAATAGTTGTGTTGACTAGATAGGACCTTGACTTAAATGATTAAAGTGACGTTTTTGAAACAAGAGATAAATATAGGTATGATATAAATAATAAAAGTGAGTCAAGTGACATTTTAACAACTTTAATTCAAAAATATCGGTTAATAATATGCGTATGAAAATACACTAAACACGTTTGAATTAACTTTCAAACAAATGTATACTTCGTACAGGCTTACATATATAGGAAATATAAACATATGCATGATAAAATGACAGCATCATTAATAATATACAAATGTAGTACGTACTACATGTGACATGTCTGCCATCCTTAGCTAGATACACAATAATATAGACAACATGTATGTGATACAATGAACTTGGAGAGTGCAGACTATACATAGTCACACGTCTGATGCATACGAACAACCAACCATCGCACATGCTAGAGCACTTACCGGGAAAGAGGCCAAAGATATGTGTACTTGTTCTGCACCAAAGAAATGTTTTGCACCAAAGAAAAGCAAACGACATGCGTATTCGTATATACACAAATACATATTTATATATATATATATACTACCCTGCAAAATCATAACGAGAGAAAAACTTCACACACTACCTGCACCTTCCTCTACGGCCTGCCACCTGAGTTATGAGTGAAGGGGAGTAATAGAGAAGGGATTGATGCCGGAGAATAAACTTTGACCGTGCTGCTGCACCAGAGAACCCACTGAACCAGTCACCGGAAGAGGAGCTCGCCGGGGGAGATAAAGTTAGCCGCTGGACCAAGCTACTAATGATTGTGCCGCCTCACCGGAGTTCACTGGGTCACTGGAAGAGTGGAGAAACCGCTGCAGCCAACACCGGAACTGACCTGCCATGGCCGCTAAACGTCGCCATCTGCGCACGCCGGCCGGAACGACGAGGACAACGACTGCTTACGTACGTACGTGGTTATACTCAGTATAATTTTTATCGTTATCCACTGAAGGTTATTACTGATGGGCCGAATCCTTTATTTAAAACTGAATGCGCTTATCTTAAATTGAGAATCGGCCGTATTAGTAAAAATGTTAAGTAATACTAGTAATAATAAACTGGGTTAGTACGTATATATACTAGTATATATGGGCTGATGGGTTGATTAATGATATTAGTTAAGCTGGAGTGCCGGCATAATGGGACTCTTACTAACTTACTAAAAACAGAAGGGTTAGCTTAACTAGGAAATGGAGTAAATGACTAATTAGTGATAATCAAGGTATAACACATTAACCCCAGTGTGGATAGAAATTGAGTAAAAGAATGAGATTAAGTGCTAATTCTAGAATTTTAATACTCTAGAAGGTGATTCTGGAGATCGAGATAAATGCTTCAAATAGGATTTATTGCAAATCGAGGTAAGTTTCTCTGCCGATCCAAAATGATTTCCTCGTATTATATGCTTATTATGCATTTTGTGATAAAGAGTGAATTTTGAATTATGTGTATGTGATTTTGAGGAGATATTAGATTTATGGTATTTTTGAAGTGCAAACGAAGTTCTTTTGGGTATTAAATATTTTTAGATACTTTTGAGACTATTTAGAGAGATTGAGAAATATTTTTGAAGTATACTTAATTCAAGATAAAATTAAGGATTTCATAAGAGGTGAGCACCCGGGAGAAATCCGTGGTGTCGGTTTTCCACATCCGGATAAATGTGGAGGGTGATTAAGGCTACTACTACTAAGAAGTACAGTTTGAGTTTGAAGTGATGTTTGGATCTATGATCCCTTTTAAGAAGAAGTTATAGTAGTAGTCCCTAATCATTCAAGAATTTTAAAGGTGGGGTAGTTGGTAGACTGAGTCCCGATTACTCGTGACGACTTACTACTCGGAGGGCTTGGAATCCCTTTTAGGGGGTGTGCACACTTAAGGTAGTCGTTTCGTTTCCATTAGCAGTTGTGGTACCGGCAAAAGTCCCGGGGTGGCCGTACATAACAACGTAACCACCGGGCTCAACCAGAGTGTTGAGCACCGCCCTTCTAAATTACTAGGAAGATAGAGAAGAAGTGAATTTTGAGAAATTCTAAGAGAAGAGTTACTATAGTATTTTCAAAGAAAAGTTGAGGACTTTAATAAAGAAGTGATTTTGAGAAATATCAAAGAGAAGAATTTTGGTGGAGTGTGTCATTTTTATATAGTATTATATGAAAAACTATTTTTCGCCAAACCTGATTATTTTACGGGGTTGGGTAGTACTTACTTAGCTCTAAAGCTAATTTTTGTTTCCTTTTCCCTGTTTTGTTTTCTGCACTTTATTTGTGCAGGTAATGATGACTTTGTCAATTGATGATTGCATGCGTCTGAGAGCGACGTAGAAGATACCTTAGTAAAACTTAGACAAGAATAAACATTTCAGTTATGTTGAACATTTGTTTTACTTTGTCTAGTTTTGTGATTGCCTGTGCATTCGGTTAAGAGATGACCGGATGTGGCGGTAACACCCATTTCCCATTTAATGTTATTTCCGCTGCAAAACTTTTTATCTGTTTTAAAAGAATAAATCAAGTCTATTGTTAATAAATCTATTATTTCAAGTATTATTTTGGGAGGGAAAATGGGGGTGTTACAACTGAGATGTGCTTTCATCCTTATTTTCCAGTCATCAAATTTGTTCAAGTTGAACAAAAGATTCTTGGCTAACTGACTGTCCATTTTTAGAAAGTGTTTGGGAGGTAGAGTGGTTTGGATCTTTAGTTCAAATTAGTCAGAAACTGACTCTAGGAACACTCTGCTCTGATACCACTTGATGGTCCCGGATAGGGTAAAAGTCTAGAAAGGGGGGGGGGGGGGGTGAATAGACTTTTAAATCTTTTTCAACTTTATGAATTTTTCCCTCTAGATGAATTGCTCTATAATCGTTTTGAGAGATTAACAGATGCACAGCGGAAGTCTTTACCCTTTATGTAATGAGTGTTTGACCGCTTTCTAATTCTGGGAAGATTGGACTTAGATAGCTAGCAGTTGGCTTGGCAGTTAGCTTAGCAGTTGACTAGGTAGCAGGAACCTGCTGAGGTAACTGCTAAAGAAATATTGTCTTTATGATGAGAGTGATGATGAAACGTTGTTTAGAACGCAAGAAAGATGTCTGAAAAGGTACTTAAGTAAGGTTAAGATGAAGTTTAACTGGAGCAGTGGTCTCAGCAGTTGGGTGGTACTGAGGAGACTGCTGAGGCACCTGCTATACTTTGAAAGTGAATTTCCGAGAACTGATAGAACAACCTTTTTGGTAATGCTTTAGCAAGTGAACTGTGTGGAGATAGCCTCAAAGAGAGTGAGTAATTAAGCAGAAGGATAAGCAGTTGGGTCAATTAAGACAACTGCTTAAGATGCTGCTGGCAAACTACAATCTTTATACGAGAAGTGCTGGGTGTGTGTTTTGTTGAATGAAGTGAAATCAACACACGATGTATCCTGGTTCAGAGGTGGTGTAATCCTCCTACGTCCAGTCCCATTCTCTTTCAAATGGATTTCCACTAAAGTATTCAGCCCAATACACTTAGTGCCAATCTAGCCTTTACAACTCTTAGGCCTAGATTGAAGGTTTTTCACAATGAGTATAACACCACTCAAAGTTACTCAGTCCTTAGACTTTTCTCAATTGATCCAGTGGGGATCAAAAGGTACTCTATCTATCTAACTACACTTTAGGATTCGAACAACTGTTCTCCTAAGTGTTTACAACCACTTGTGAAATGTTACAAGAAAGTTCTAACCTCCAACTATGAACTAAGCTCTAAAAATGTAAAAGTATTGATCTAATCTAAGAGCTTAGTGAAGCATGAGGCTAAGCAGAGAGTAAAGTTGAGTTTGCACTTTCTCTTTTGCTAGATATCTCGTATATGCTTTGATGAAAGTATTTCTCCACTTAGGATGCTCAAGCTTATTTTTGAACTCATGCTTCTACCTATATTTATAGGCCTTCATGGTTGATCAATCTCATCCGTTGGTTGAGATGGATTAATCTTGTGCGTTGAGGGTCTGGCAAGGACGAATTGTACATTTGTCTTCTTGTGCAGGAGCTTTTAATCTTTTTGTTTTCTGTCTTGAATGATTGGGCTGCGGTATGGGTGTGTCTTCAGCCGCTGCAGCTTCACTCCAAGAAGTCCTCCCATGCTGTAGGACCGTGTATTTAATTTTTGTCTTCCAATCAATATTCAATGTATTCGAGCATCTCAAATGTGACCTATATTTAATCTTTGAGTAAAATGATATATGCCGGTAGGATTTAAATATCCTATGAAGGTAAAAAGTTACCTTATTGCATTTTTATGTATCCGGTAATATATCATTAATCTTAAAGATTGTACATTTATTTTTGTCACTTATGATTTAAATTTAAATGTTACTTCTGAAAATAAGACTTAATGTACATTTGTTTAGTATAGTGGCATCATCAAAATCTATCAAAATTGGAGACTAACAGGCAATTATGTCGAGGTTGCCATTGTGATGGTGGAGAGATGGGTGGGTTTTGATTGCTCATACAACTATGGTCATGGGAGCACATTCATATCGACACACCTGTCATACTGCGATATCATGGGGTAGATGGTGGTCCTCTTGATGATGCTATGGATCAACAAGCTTTACTTGGGCCACATCATGTTCATGGCGAGGATCCTTTAGGTCGTAGGTACGTTTATGATTTTTTTTCTATTTATGTATGACGTACGTGAATCCCTTTTATATTCTTGTACATTGCTGTGTGTCAGATGGCTGTTTGCTCATGTCACGCGCACGTCATCCGCTGCTGGATTAGGATACTACCGAGATGCTTTAGATAGCTTGTGTGATGATCAGGTATATCATTCATATCATTAAATGTAAGTACTTTGTTTTACGTTTTTATAAACCATAGTGTAACATAATTTTATATTATAGATGACGTGGATGTCGTACACGGATGAGATTTTAGGACTGTTACCTCCTATTGCCCGAGAGCACAGTGAGATATGGCGAGCACGTGTGCCCTTGATATGTTTTGATGTAGTGGAGCATCACTTTCCTGATCGTGTACTACGCCAATTCGGGTTGCAGCAGGTTACTCCCGGACCTTGTGATACATCTGTGCATTTGCACAAGATTGATAGACGGGGGAAGCACACTGAAGATTGGGGGATGCGCCATATTCAGTATATCACTATGTGGGATGAGAGAGCGACATATATAGTGGACGGGATCCCATCATTAGTCCCCACAGCTTCTGTAGACTACATGAGATGGTATTACACCATCACACGAGTGTTTATCTCTCCCAGTTTTCGTGTACCCACTGATCATTACCAGCCTAGCTCAGTCGCTCTTCATATGACGGTAAACAATATAGTCAATAAAATAGCTTTATTTATTTATTCACGTGCATGTTTATCACTAATAACCATGTTTGCATTACAGACACGGGCTTTGCGTAGCATCCATGACAGAGTGAGTGTTGTACTTGATGAGGCAGTAGATGTACAGGGGTACCATGACGCTTGTTCGGGCATTGTTGCACTATGCGATGATGTATTGGGCCGAGTGGATTATGGATTTATGGTCACCTCTCAGCATTCCACCGCATCTACATCTACAGCAGAGTCTTCTCAAGCAGTCCGACATGATAGAGTTGTTCTTCAGCCTCGTAACTAGTGCAGGCGCCCCCGAGCAGAGCCACAACCACATGACCTTCATGATGATGATGATCACGTTGACTTATGATCTTTGTAGTTATATTATTGTGTGAAAGTTACGCTGTAACATGCATTGGGAGATCGAATCATTTTGTGAAACACCGGATTTAATATAACTTTTATGTGTTATTTCAAGTTTTGTGATGCAATGTAGTTCATTGAATTGATTCGTTTTGTGTTTCAGATGTATTTTGTTTTAAAAAATCATATGTTTGGCTGTTTGTTTGAGGAGAATGGACTGTGTTGAGCAGATTTTGTTGGGAACTGTGCAGTAGCTAAGTTAACTTGTGTTATTAATTGTGAAGCTGTGCAGTAGCAAGTTTACTTGTGTGTAGTAGCAGGTTTGCTTGTGTGTTGTAGGAGGTATACACAAGAGGCGCCACTTGGAGTGACGGCTTTCATACTGCGTATAAAAGCCGCCACTCCAAGTGGCGCCTCTTGTGAAGGTATACAAGAGCCGCCACTTGGAATGGCGGTTTTCCTTAACCGTGGTTAACCCCAGCAATATTTTGAGAATTATTCTTAACCCGGCAGTATTTTGGAAATTATTTATTTAATTAGCATTATTCCGGGAAAAAACTCAACTTTCCCTACATCCAAACAATGTTGGAAAAGAAACAGATGAAAAAAACTGAAAACACTGATTATGAAGATGTTTTTCTATTATTGGAATCAAAGAAGATAGAAAGAAGAGAAGAAAAGAAGAGAAAAGGAGGAGACGACGGCTAGGATTTCTCCATGCCATTGCCGCTCCTCTTTCTTCCTTGAGAGATAAAACTTATCCGGTCAATATTTATTAAAAAGTAAAACTTGCCAAGTACCTTGTGATCTGATGGCATCACTGCTGATCTCCTAATAAGGAGGTCGGAGGTTCGAGTCTCATCCCAATCAAAGATGTTGGCATTAACACGAGTAAATACTATAGTAGGTTTAGAAGAATGTTCCAAATAAAAAAAGTAAAAAATGTACTAGTATATTGGTTTAAAGATGTAAAAGGTTAAAAATTACCCTCATTCATAATTTAATACGGAGTAATAGTTATAAGAATAAAAAACTAATGTACCAAATATAAAAAAAATCATAAAGTTAAAAAACGTTAGGAATTACATGGTGTAGAATTTTTAATTGAGGAATCCGGGTGTGCAGGCAAGCATACTTCCCTGGTTTGAAACCCCCATTGGCTGTAGAATTTTTAATTGAGGAAAACAGTTCATAACCGGGTTTGGCTCACAGTGGATCTTGCAACTACATTTTGGGTGTTCAAAATGATTTTATCATTAAAACATTACATAAAAAATTATTACATCAATTTTTAACATTTAATTTTGTATTGTATTTTTAAAATTTTGGGTGTTCACATGAACACCCCAAAACAAAGGAGATCCGCCCATGTTGGCTGATTTCCAATTTTTAACCGTTCCTGGTCCGGTCTGGTTAATTCTGAGTCGCCGGTCAATTCCGGTTTTCAGCACATTTACGGGTTTGGATTCTATCGGACTGGTTCTGGAGCGGGGCGGCCGGGTACGGGTCGGACTGCCCAGTCCAGTCCGGTTCTTGCAACATAGGGTACAAGTCTATAACCGTGGTACTAGTATTGTTCTTCAGTACAGGAAGCGGGGGGCTCTTGCTCCCCAGTCACATCATCTACTTTTTGCCATTGTCCTTATTCTTCTAAGTTTGTTGCTCAAATTATTAACAGTAAACTTAATTAAGTGATGTACCTGACCTATGAGTTTCTCATCGACAACTTTGTTGTCGTTACGATAGGGTAGTATGGCCTTCTTCTCAGACCCAACATTGTCCAACCATCGTCTTCATCCAGAGCTTAATTAGCTTGGTGATTGACTTGAAGAGCGCTCTCCATCTTTTAGTTGGTGCCTCGACTTCTTAGTCCTTACAAGGGTTTTTGGCTCTGCTGATTTATCGACAAGTATGTTTGGGTCTCCTTATTATAAGCTCGAGTAAGGCGGTGCATGCTATGCTGATCCGGTAAAGCCGCCCGATTAGTAGTATTCCATGAATAATAATTAGAATAGTTAAGGCTACTTAATGAATAATAAAGGCAATACATAGTTGATAGTTAATAAAAACAACTATCTTTTCCCGTCCTCACCTTCACCTTCATTCTTTTCCTCTTTAATCTAGCTATACCCTTCGGTCTCTCAGAGAATCTCCGGCGGTTAGCTAATTGTCCTTATAGCTTGACTAGCCACGTCAGCATTTATAGCAAAATTGAAATATATTCCAATGGTTAGCTATAACTTTTTCCTCTTCATTTATTGTCTATAATGTTATATTTAATAATTTTCCTTGTTCAAGCTAGTAGCCCATTTAGGCTAATTAGCTTTCTCAAGCAAAAGGAAGAGCAATGCTCCAATGGTAGGCTACTAGGTTCAAAATTGCAAGCAAGTCCCTAGAAGCAATCATTGGAGATGCTTTTAGACATTTTGTTTATGAACAACCCATTAATGAAAATGTCTCAGTTCACACTTCCATTGTTCTATAAAATAACTCATAATTCTAATGGAATATTAAAGTAAATTTAAAAACTCTGTCATAAAATCATTTTTTGTATCATGTTCGTCCATAAAAGAGGAAGGTATTGTGATAGGCACGTGACGAGTAAAAGTATCACTTAGTCATATCATATGACATGCAATATGAATCGAAATATGAATATCGGTTCATGTTAGCCCATCTAAAAAATCTTTTGGGAATAAAACTTGATCTATTAAACTCACTCAGAATTGGTTAACTGTTGTGTTTTTGCATCAATTAATTTATTTTCAAATCCAAAGTTATGAAATTGGATCGTTCAAGTTTAATTTCAAACCGAGAATGAATTCAACAGTACTCCGTATATACTCCGTAATAAAAATGGGATGTTCGGGTTGGATGATATCCTTTTGGTTATTTTGCGAGGGGTTGTGATTAATTATTAATGATACAAGTGGATCTTATTATGATACATACATTTTTCTTAATTTTTATCATATCAATTGATCCAACACATGACTTGTTTCTAATTATGTAGGGCATAGTACTACAGTACTAGTGTTTGTAGGGATAACAGAAAATTAAAGGCATATTAGATGGTCGCACAATTATTAAAAGATGCATCTTGAGAGACAATAGTGTAAACGAGCGGCGAAAGGAAGAAAAAGGCAAATCAATACGTTAATTTAGAGAAAATAAATGACATCCATTCAAGTTCTTCTAGTGTACAATAGCTAGTCAATAAATGTATATAGTTGAAAAGTGCATAGCGGTAGTACATGAGTTGAATATTTTGATATAGGATTGTAGATTTACAGGTTATCACGATTCGCAGCTACTCATCCAAAATTGGTCTTCGGGAAGAGTTAAGTGATTTTTTACAGAGAAACTATCTATAGATAATAATTTGAATGTTACAATTAGGAAAAGTATTGCCTCAATTCCACAATACATACTCCTATTATTTAGGGTTCTAACAAAACAATAAACCGCGTTTAACTCCAGCAGTTCTAAAAAAATAATAAATAGAAAGAAAGAAAAAAAAGAGAAGAACCGCCACTTCGAGTGGCAGCTTTTGTACTGTATAGAAGAATCGTCACTTCGAGTGACGGCTTTCCTTAATTAACCGCGTTTAACTCCAGCAGTATTTTGAGAATTATTTTAACGTAACAATATTTTGTGATTTATTTATTTAATTAACATTATTCCGGAAAAACTCCAACTTTTTAGTATCTTTCGTATGCCATTAATGATGCATGTACAAAAAATAAAAAAGGAAAAATTGACAAGAATAATTCCACCTTTCATTGGTCTTCTCATAATAATCTCACATTTACATAATCGCAAAATAATCCCACCTTTGCACCTCATCTTCTTTCATTGGACCCTGACCAAGTTTTTTACCTTTGAAAATCTTATATAAATAATCTCACATTTATATAGATATAATAAAAAAGTGAAAGATGAGATTATTTAAATGATTTTCAAAAAAAGAGTAAAAAACTTGGTCAGGATCCAATGAAAGAAGATAGAGTACAAAAGTGAGTTTATTCTAGAATTACATAAAGGTGAGATTATTATGAGAAGACCAATGAAAGATGAGATTATTCTTGTCAATTTTTCCAATAAAAAATTAGTTCTATTAATATATGCAGTTAAGGATCGAACCCAGTCAGAATTCGATAATTGCAAAGTACAAATAGAACAAACATGTACTAGATCAATTCAGATCAAATTAGACTAGATCATACTTAAGTCGACCAGACCAGACAAATCAGACTAGAAGATTTCAATTGAATTGACATGCATGTGAAAACACACTTTCTGTCAAAGATAGTTTAACACAATTGTACTCAAATATAATTCCACTACTTATAAAACTTTTAGACTTCTACTTATAGAAATTTTACTCAAACACAAATTGACGCAATTCCACTACTCTTATACACAATTTCTTCAAATTCAAAGTCACACCTTTCTCATTATTCCATATGAATTATAAAATTATTCTCCCCACTTTCAAACTCATCTCCCCATGACATCTTAGTAAATTCTCGTTGGTGTATTAACATCTGTAAAAGAGAGCCACTCAACTATTGTTAAAATCATTACTCTATGATTTTTCACTGCTAAATTACTTTATAATCATGTTTTGATAAAAGAATCAAAATCACACGATTCACTGAGAACCTAAATAGTCAAAACACTAACCGTAGTATATAACAAATCTCTATTTAATATACTTCTTTAGTGC